GAGACGCTACCTAACTGAATGAACATTTCTTAAAAATTCCAGCAGTAATTGAATTAGAGAAAAGTTAAGGATCATAGGAAAGGCTGGTAACGTGCAGCTGAGTGCCGTATAGATTGGATGTCAGTGAAATGGTTCTGACATGGAAGTAGGGTCTACTGAAGAGAATGGAGACTAGTGAGAGGGCATGCAGGTTCAGGAGAGAGTCACAGGCAAGGGAAGATGGTCAAAACACATGGCATAATTGAATGAAATGCCATTGTGAAACCCATCACTTTGTATAATCAATATGTGCTAACAATTTTTTAAATGTTGGTTTTCTGCCTGACCCCCATTCTCATAAGTAAAGCAATGCACCCAAAAGGAAACATACTGCTTTCCCTCTTAGATGACATCACAGGACCAATTCCTGGCCTCTCTAAGGTAGACCCACCTTCTGCCACACCCAGCCTTGCACGGCACCCTTCAGAAGGAACCCGTGGTTTCCTCATTTCTCATCCTCTTCTCAACAAATAGTTACAACATGATGTTTTTCGGAAAAAAAATTCTCCCCTCTAAGGGAAAATGTTCCGTGTGTCATACCACTCTTTAATCTTTTAGTATTTGTAGCTCTGGCATCCTCTTTTCTAGGAAAACACTGATCCTTGTTTGGAATTAATCTCTGGCTCTCCAAAGTCCTGGGCAATTATGACATAAAAGACCATCCACATCCTTGTCTGTCTCCTTCAGTAGATTTACTAGCATCTCTAGAACCCTTCAGTATGACACAGTACTCAGGATGTACCTGGTGAAATAAACCCAACAGAACAGAAAACTAGTCTAAGTCAGTGTTGGTTAAAGAATGTACAGAGACTGGGAACTGCGGGGGGCTGAAGGAAAATGTCCCCCATAGGCTCCAAGTGTTTGGACATTTTGTCCCCAGTTGTTGGCACTGTTTTGGGAGGTCTTAGAAGGTGTGGCTATCCTGGATGAAGCATGTCACTGGGGGCGGGCCTAGAGAATTCTTAAGCCCTGCCAGATCTCCAGTTGCCTCTCTTGCTTCCTGTACCTACTTGATGATGTAGAGCTTAGCTTCTGCTCCTCCTCCAGCCACCTCTGCCCCCATGCCTCCTCGCCAAGATGGACTGTAATTCCTGGAACCATAAGCTCAAATAAATTCTTCCTTTCATAAATTGCTTTGGTCAGTGGTTCTATCACAGCAACAGAAAAGTGAGTAAAACAGTAACAGACTGGAGACTGTGTGCTTCATACTCTGCAGTGATTTCAGAACTTGAGAAAAGGCATAAGGATTTTTCTTTCAATTTAACATTGTCATGTTATTCCATCTTGTGACACATGTCATTGAACAGAGTATAGATCAATTTGGCTACTGTCAAATTTAGATGGGGAGTCAAATATGTCATGAGACACGTCATAATTATGAGCAGAATGAATGCACTGCAACATATGATAATTTCAGGTTAAACAACTGTAACTCCCAAATTGTATAAACACAAGAAAACAAACATCTGTTTACTCTTGTAATTTATAATTAAAATATTTTTAGTGATTTAAAATTATGCCTGACACTCCCACTCCATATTTGACACTATTAGCTAAGTAATGTGTAGTTTTTATTTGCATTTCTAATTAACAGCAAAATAAGCCTCACTAAAAACTAGATTATTTTTGGTTCTCCAAAATAAGCATCTCTTTAAATATGTATATAGGAAAGAATAAAATGTAGATGATAGAAGCAATTCCAAAGAAGTCAAACTAAAACTGGATTCCTTTTTCTTGGAATCATGCCTCCCCCAGACATGTTTGACTTGATTTCCTTGTGAATAACTGTCAACTCATGAGTAAGGGTGAGACTGTGCCGCTGACAGCACAGATACGTGTGAGGTCTAGATAGCTTTAGGCTCTGCAATCCTATTAGCTATGCTCAATTAATTACGAAAATGTAATCAACAGGTTTGGGATTGAAAAGAAAAGCAGGTCTACTAAGTCAGCAAATTCATAGCTTAGGGAAGAGTGTTTTCTGATTGCAGGCGTCGTTTGCAATACAACATGAGAATGTGTATACATCACAGCTCTGACTATGAGCAAAGAAATAAATGCAAATATAAACATTATCCTAGCAAACAGTCCTCCAATTCTTCCAGAAATGTACTTCCTTAGTGATATTATAACAATTTCTGTATTTTATCTTGTTCTGCAAAATATATCATTGTAATCCCAACCTTTCTACTGATATGTACTGTAGAAAGGAGACTGAGGTGGCCAACTCCACACACAAATGTCAGATTTTACGTAAGAATATTTGAGGGAAAATTTTTGATAATAAGAAGTTAAAAAGCTTTTCTTTTTGATTAACTTTTCTAAAAGAGCTTTCTACTCATTTGTGTGTATCATAAACCTAATGGTATTATTAATAAATTGTGGAACATTATAGTAATTACTAACAAAGCAACCTTAAGGATAGAGATGAATGATAGCATTAGATAACTAGTAAGAGATTAGCAGGCTTGCAGGTCATTAAAGATGTATCTCGCCCTCATGATCAGTTTGAGGTCCTAACTCCTGTGTCCTTGGTGACAGGTCCATTTTGTTAGTGAAAAACTGAATGAGGAAAGAAGTGAGGAAGCATCACTATTACCACTTTTTAAGATTTAAAATACCATCTGAAAAATAGGAAGATGGGAGCAGTAGGCTTTGTTGAAGAACGATTAAGGGAAGGCTGTTTCCTCCTAAGGCATGGCTATATTATAAGAATATTTTTATTGCATTATATTGATTGATTGATTGGGGTAGGGCATGTCCATGCCACCATATGGGTGAGGAGCTCAGAGGACAACTTGCAGGAGTCAGCTAGCTCCTTCCACCATACGGGCCCTGAGGATTGAGCTCATGTTTTCAGGATTGGTGGCAGAACTCATTGTTCAGTGTGAGTTTTGACCCTCCTCCTTTACTTGCTGAGCAATCTCACCAACCCCAACACGGCTACTTTTATAGCTTTATTTTTATTTTTTCTCCTTAGAATTTTCTCTGTTACATCATTTTTGGTCAAAAGAGTGAAACGTGAGTTGCAAAAGAAGCTTCTTTGATGAGTGGTGACTGGCGTATTTGTCTGTTAAATATACGAATCCATATTTAGCATAAAACAAAAAGTTAATTTGTCTAGGGATATGATGGCCTTAGAATTTTCTCTAGAATCTGTGTGTATTTGCCTATGCTTACAGAGCTACATCTGAGTTCCCTCTTATTGAGTGGTCTTTAAATCCAGTTTAGGTAGCTGTTGATTACCCTTAAGATAAAAATGCTACTACTGCCCCAATATAGTTTGCTGTGCCAGTCATTGTTGTGGTTATTAGGCTTTAAAGCTGGGGTTGGACCACTGATGATATTCCTCCTTAGCAGCTCACATAGTGTTCTCCAAAACTATGAGAGCTAGCCTTCAGGGTGGAGGCCTCCAGGTCAGTCCATGCTCCAAGTCCTGTGTCCAAAGTATGTCCTGTCTTCAGCAATAAGGTCTTACTTTCAAGTTCTGGGAGACAATCAAGGGCTGTCATAATAGCCTGTGTAATTTTGGGAGTCTCTTGGACTACCTTGACCAACAACTCAAACAGCGGTTTCTCCTGCCTGGCACTGTTTCTTGTTATATAACCTTCAGCTGTACATATGGACTCATGTTGTATATTTAATTTTTCAGTTCAAAAAATTAATACATTTACCTCTGGTTTTTCATATCAGCTAAGCATTACTTATCTCTCCTTTCTCCCTGTCTAACTCTCCCTCCTCCCTCCCCAGTTAAAGTACCCCCATTTTCCCCATTTCACCTTTGATAATACCTATTTCCTATGATTCCCCCCTCTCTTTAGCACTTTTTTCCCCTTTACATCCATGGTTCCTTGTATAACCCTCCCTCCCAGTTAAATATCCCCTTTCCCCTCATCTACCCTGGTAACACCTGTCTCCTACTATTGTTCTCTCTCAGGCTCCTTTCCCTTTACTTCCCTGGTTCCTTTCCATTTTCCTGACTCTTGCAGTAACTCACATATAAGGATTTCGTGCTAAGATACACAAATGAGGGAGAGCATAGTTATATCTTTGGTCATGGACAAAGACTGACATTCTGAATTACCAGGAAGACTGTAAGATTACTATCTAGCAGAGGCTTTTAGTAAAAGTATAGACATACCACTGTTTCTCCTTTCCCTTGAAAGCTAATCCAAGTGGATCCATCAATCAGGTGGACAGGAAAACACCCCTCAAGAAAGTTGTCTATTCCAGAGATGTTAAGATATAATATAATAAAGCCCGCTGTGTATGTGGGTCAGCACAGTGGTCTGTGTGGTCATTGCTTACTCTCTCCCCATGAGAATGTCTTACAGTGATCTCTCTGGCAATTATCCATTCTAACCCTGTGAGAGGATTTTCCTTTGCAATGGTTCTTTTAGTTTGCCCAATCTCACCATTGAGTGTTTGCTGTTATTCTGTAATAAACCCTTCCTGTATTCTATAGTATACACTGTGTCTCTTCTGAATTCATTTGGCAGAAATTACAAAGACTGGGTGGCTAGGGAAGCCATAGTCAGATCCCAGTATTGATAGTATGTATAAGAATTGGAAAAAAAACTGCTTGACTTATGGAAATTAGACACTGTCATTTGAGGGTATTTTAATGATGATGATGATAAATAATAAGTAATAATGGCTAAAAGCTTCTAGTATCTTTATCTGTACTATAAAGCACACCTAGAATCTCCATTCAACAGGATAAGACATCAAATTTCCAAGATAGAAATATCAAATTATTCTTTTAGCCCTTCCTAAATGTTATTTGAAGTTTTATTTTATTCCAAAATGAAATCTACTTTTACTCTACATAATTATCTATTCTTTCCAAAATTGAATATGATTATTAGTAAAAGTGATAAATTACTTTCTGGCAACCAGGTGTCAAGGTATCTGATTGGGAATCAGAGAACAGGCAGAGTTAGCAAATAAAGAAAATAACCTGTGGCACTTTGTGTGTGTTTGTTCAATGGGTGAACAGAGGCAGGAAAGACAGGCGCAAAAATAAATCCTCTCTTGCATCCCAGAACCCATTGTTCAGTGTGAGTTTTGATACATACAAGAAGGAATATGACAAGACATCTCAAAGTGATGATGTTGAGAGAAACGTGGTGAAGGAATGAGGAGCAACTGGGCAGCTGGCCATCAAGTCCCAAGAGACTGAATGCTTGCAATGGATCATGTGAGGCTCCTTATTACACAAGATGAGTATTAACCTGACCATAGGCAATTCTCTGTTGATCTCAAAACTCTGAACTCATGACTTGGCAAGTAAGAAAGAAAATAAATTTGGAGCCAAAATGGCAGCAGAGCCAGAGCAGGGTCAGCAGCAGAGACTCTCGCACATGACTCTGAACCACTTCATTTTATTAAAAATCTTGATGCAGCCGGGCGTGGTGGCATACACCTTTAATTCCAGCACTCGGGAGTCAGAGGCAGACAGATCTCTGTGACTTCAAGGCCAGCCTGGTCTACATAAAGGGTTCCAGGACAGCTGGGGCTACAGGGTGACCCTGTCTCAAAAAGACAAAAAAAAAAAAAAAAAAAAATCTTGATGCTTCTATATTGATCTCAAAATTCTGAGCTGAGGACTTGGCAAATAAGAGGGAAAATAACTGGGGAGCCAAGATGATGGAGACTCGTTGGCCTGGCCTCCCATATACACCTACAGGGCAGAGCTGGCCTGTCTGCCCTTGGGTCCTGGTGGCACCCATGATTGGCTGACCATCATCATCACCCGGTGGCTGTCAAGACTTGGCTTCAGTCCTCAACAACATTAGGAATCTAAGAACTTTACAGATTTTAGAAAATAAACTAGAGGACACTGGTACAAAGCCATGTATGAAACTGTGAAATATCCCAACTGCCACTCAACCTTGGACTGGAGACCTCTGAGCTAACTTCTGCCTGCTGTAAGGACCTAGCTTCTGCTTTTACCCACAGTACAAACCATGTGGGGAATCAAACTGTTGGAGAATGCCTTGGGTGATAATTAGATCACTGTGCTGAATGAGGATTTGAAACAGCCAAATCTGCATGCAAGGACTGAGAGCAACGAACTTTGATAAGGAAAACCAAGCATTTCTGACCACTGAGAAAAGGAGAAATCCCTACTTGACATTCCTAAGCAGAAATTAAGAGAAATAGAAATTAAGAGTGAAAATCCCTTCCCAAGAAACCTGGGCATATTCTGACCCAAAAACATGCACAAAGGAAAAGAAGTGGGCCCTTACATAGGCACACCTCCATGTAGGAATTATAGATCACTGACACTCTAAGGACATATGATTTCTCTGGGACCAGCTCAGAGGTGTTATGTAAGATGGATGTAGATTTTTCATTTGCTAATAGAAGACATGAAGTCAGGGGTGGGGGCTGAGGGGTAGTATGGTGAGAGTGAGATCTGAATATAATAAAATTTCATTATATGAAATTCTTGAATCCAGAAAGTTCTCTTAAACTTAAAAAGAAACCTTCAAAACATAAATTTAAAAAACCCTGCTTAATGCTTATGACAGATAGTTCCACAGGGTGCTTCAAATAGAGGAGGTCAACAGACACTGGAGCTGTAAATAAGTAAAGAAAATACTATCTAAAACTTTTACATAATGACCTTAAATAATGTATAAAGCAATATGAAATGCAACATTGCAATTCATTTTTGATCTAGGTTGACTCAGAACCTGAGGAAGAGAATAATTTCCTGGACTGGATCTTCATAATCACAGTGAGATATTTTTATGTAACCAACGATCCATCTGTTTCATGTGTGTGTGTGTGTGTGTGTGTGTGTGTGTGTGTGTGTATGTGTGTGTATGGTTTTCCATGTAGTTAAGTAATCACATATCTTCTGTTTAAAAGTAGCCTACAGCTATTTTCATGACTAATATTAAACTATAGCTTTTAGGAATTTCTACTTTCGTCAGGATTTACCCTTGATTTCTGCAAGGAATTGCTCTCACTTGAAGCAATCTAATTCAGGTTGTTGTGTCTCTATCAATCTATATGTGTTCAAATCCACTATTGGATTGTGTCATTCCATGTACACTCACTTTTGTAAAAGGAAATAATGGGCAATCATTGCCAGAGTATCAATAGGTGCTGATGTTGTGTTTCAACTCTTATAAATCTGACCTTGAAGTCCCCATTCTTATTAATCTTATGTCCTGTAGCTATTATGAAAAATATATCTGAGGAAAGATCACTATGCAAAATCAAGAGGAATCATAGCAAACAGAAATAAATGTCCCCTGAACATGTCAATGGGAGTTTTATTCATTATTTAACAGATCCTCATTACATTTCTAAAACTGGAACCAGGGTTAACGGAATAGGTATTTAAATAAAAATTCTGTAAGAGTAGTTCTTAGATTCCAGTTCTGCTAATTTCATGTTCTTGTATATGTGTTACTTGGAGATATTCATTTGCCTGTTATTTATAAATCTTTCCCATAAAACATGTTAAGAAAATAAATTGGTCCAACTATTGCTAAGTATTGTAAGGAGATCGTGTTATGTTTTAAAAATGTTACCTGACTAACACACAACTTCTGAGTTTAGCATGCTAATGCTTGTATATGTTTAGAATTAGTGATAAACATAAAGAGAATCAGCACAGTGGGTGCTCTTGGGGGCTAGAGAGATGGTTCTGCAGTTAGAGCACATGCTGCTTTTTCAGCAGATTCACATTTGGGTCCCAGCACCTATGTCAAGTGGTTCACAAGAGCCTGTAACTCCAGCTCCAGGGGACCTGACACTCTCCTTTGGTCTTTGTGGGTGCTGTACTCGTGTTACACACCTACACAGAAACACACACATATTTGCGTATAATGAAAATTTAAAAAAGAATGAATTTTCTAAGGATTGCCAGGATTCACCCTAAGAGGAAGGATTTGGCAAGTTATTTGCCCTGTCTCTGGGTTGATTTGTCTGATATGTTTTCCTTCCACTTTACAGCAATGTTTACACATCTCCAATATTAGTGCTATAGTTCAGTGCACCTCCTCCCCATTAATTTACATTTTGAAGTTTATGGCCAATGTAATAGCATTAAGAGATGGTGCCTTTAAGAGTTGACTATGCTATGGGCTCCTGGATGGGACTAAGACCCCGATAAAAGAAGCTTCTAGCTTCTGCTGGCATTTTCTTGTGACCAAATAACGAGCAGAAACAACTTAAGGGAGGAGAGCTTAATTTGGCTCCCGATACAGTTCACTATGGTCGGGAAGGCATGGAGAAAGAACGGGGTCTGTGGTGGCAGGAGTGTAAGGCAGTTGGTTACAAGACCATGCAACAAGGGTGAAAAGAGTTCAGAACAGAGCCTGTTCAGCAATAACCCTCTAGCTCTGCCCATATGACCCTGTTCTGCTAGCAAAGTCGATGTCTAAAAGGTTCCACAGCTCCCGATCTGTGCTACCAACTGTTCAAACACAAAATACGCCAAACCATGAGGGCAGCTTTTTCAATTTTCAGTGTTAGGGGTTTACCCAAGGCCTCAATGCATGCTAAATCAAGTTCTTTACCACTGAGAAACATCACAGATCTTGTCTTTTGTCTTGAGGATATCAGACAGAGCGATGACACAGTGTTTCTCTAGATCCTTGTGGTTTCAGGCAAGGAGACAGCCAATTACAGTTTTAGGTATAGCCCAGGTTCCAGCACTGAGCTCTGCATTCCAAGCAGTACAGCTACCTTTGCCTTAATGAGTATTCTTTTTTATGTCATATCATATTCAATATATATACTCCTCAAAAGGATTAAGAAATCAATCTGGGAATTTTAGCATAGAGCTTTATCAAGCAACTGTGAGAGCATGCAAGACCTCTGCAAGTCCAAGCCAGACAAAACCCAGCATGGATGGGGGATGTGGCAAGAAACCCCAGCCCTAGCTGAAGAACTATTGCCAATCCATAGCTTCTGGGAAAGGGAGAGTCAGTATTCTTTAAGAGTGTGACACTATGGGTTAACTAGCCTCTGGGAGATGGATACAGACCCAAGAGCACTTGGGGACACCAATTAGACTCCATAGGTTTAAAAAATAATAATAAAGAACCTGAAACTGACTTCAGGGGAGTTATTTAGGTGGAAATCGAGATGGGGAGGGGACCTGAATATGATGAAATACAATGGATGAAATTCTCAAAGAATTAATACAAAAACATTAAAATTGACTAATTAAAAAACATGCTTTCATGTTACAGAATATCTAACTCACTTAAATTTCATTTCTTTAAAGGAAGAAAAAATTTCCATCTTGTAGATATGTGTATTTATTATATAATTTGTATTCACACAAAATGTGATTTATATGCTTTGCAGTCAGATGGGATTTTTGCACAGATCATAAACAGTAGCAATAATTATAGATCAATACCAACCAATCAGCTTTCTATTAAATGTGACTGTACATAATGTGATCTTGAGAAAATCCTGAAACTATTCCATGTATTTTGAAAAATATTTTATAAACTCATATTTAACATAATTACTGATAATCAACATGATGCTAATTACAGCTATGAATCATAATTCTGCTCAGAATAAGCCATATTTTTGCTAAAAGAAACAAGAGAGAAACATGCTGGCTAGCCAAATGGCGAAAGTCTGGCAATGTATAAACTAGATGTGCCAAACCCATCCTGCCGCTTTACAAGGTGGCTACCTGCCAAAGAGTTCAGCTTTGCATCTTCAGTACATTTGACAAGAAAAATGAAATGGGACCCCACCATAATGCTACGACTCAATTAATAAACACTCATTCAGAAAGCATCTACTCATTTGAGTGTCCTGTCTGGTGGAATGTTCAGGCTTCTAGCTTAACAAGACCAGAGCTAATTCTAATTAGACATCTTTAAATACCTGTTAAAAACACATCTCTTATTTATTCATTAAATGCTTAACATCTACATTTTAGATAAAGGGCAAATAACGTCCAAGCCCTAGAGGACGGAATTAATAATAGATAGAATGTAAGCATAAACTCTTCCTGCTTCACATTTAAAGATTTGTGATCTTTAGTTTTAGCCAAATGGATTTCTCAAGAGCAGTTCACACATCAGTCTAGTGTCCCAAAT